TAGCCCTACTATATACAGATGACAAAAGGGCTGAGAAAGAAATCAGAGAATCATCGCCCTTTACAATAGCCACAAACAACATAAAATACCTTGGGGTAATGCTAACCAAACAAGTGAAAGACCTGTATCAAAAGAACTTTGAGTCTTTAAAGAAAGAAATTAAAGAAGACATCAGAAAATGGAAAGATCTCCCATGCTCTTGGATAGGTAGGATCAACATAGTAAAAATGGCAATCTTACCGAAATTACTTTTACACAATCCCCATTAAAATCCCAGCACAAGCCGGGCATTGGTGGTGCACGCCTTTAATCCCAGCACTCGGGAGGCAGAGGCAGGAGGATCTCTGTGAGTTCGAGACCAGCCTGGACTACCAAGCGAGTTCCAGGACAGCCTCCAAAGCCACAGAGAAACCCTGTCTCGGAAAAAAAAAAAAAAATCCCAGCACAATTCTTCACAGACCTTGAAAGAACAATAATCAACTTTATATGGAAAAATAAAAGACCCAGGATAGCCAAGACAACCCTGCTCAACAAAGCAACATCTGGAGGCATCACCATCCTTGACTTCAAGCTGTATTACAAAGCTATAGTCCTGAAAACAGCTTGGTATTGGCACAAAAATAGGAATCGAATCGAACACTCCGACATTAACCTATACATGTATGAATACCTGATCTTTGACAAAGAAGCTAAAATTATACAATGGAAAAAAAGAAAGCATCTTCAACAAATGGAGATGGCATAACAGGATTGCTGGCATGTAGAAGACTGCAGATAGATCCATGTCTATCGCCATGCACAAAACTTAAGTCCAAATGGATCAAAAACCTCAACATAAATCCAGCCACACTGAACCTGTTAGAAGAGAAAGTAGGAGGTACCCTTGAACGAATTGGTACAGGAGACCGTTTCCTGAACATAACACCAGTAGTACAGACACTAAGATCAACAATTAATAAATGGACCTCCTGAAACTGAGAAGCTTCTGTAAGGCAAAGGACACAGTCAGCAAGACAAAAAAGCAACCCAAAGATTGGGAAAAGATATTCACTAACCCCACATCTGACAGAGGGCTGATCTCAAAAATGTACAAAGAACTCAAGACACTAGTCTCCAAAACACGAAAGGATCCAATTTAAAAGTGGTGTACAGAACCAAATAGACAATTCTCAGTAGAGGAGTCTAAAATGGCTGAGAGACACTTAAGAAAGTACTCAACATCGCCATCAGGGAAATGCAAATCAAAACAACTCTGAGATACCATCTCACGCCTGTCAGAATGGCTAAAATCAAAAACTCCAACGACAGTTTATGCTGGAAAGGATGTGGAAAAAGGGGAACACTCCTTCAATGCTGGTGGGAGTGCTGACTTGTACAGCTACTTTGGAAATCAGTATGGAGATTCCTCAGGAAAATGGAAATCAGTCTACCACAAGACCCAGCAATTCCACTCTTAGGCATATATCCAAAAGCTGTCCATTCATACAACAAAGATGTCTGTTCCACTATGTTCATAGCAGCATTATTTGTAATAGCCAGAACCTGGAAGCAACCTAGATGCCCCTCAACTGAATAGTAGATAGAGAAAATGTGGTACATTTAAACAATGGAGTAGTATTCAATGGAAAAAACCCAAAACAATGGAATCTTGAAATTTGCAGGCAAATGGATGGCACTAGAAGAAACCATACTGAGTGAGGTAACCCAGTCACAAAAAGACAAACATGGTATGTACTCACTCATATATGGATTTTAGACATGAATCAGGGGAGTACCAGCATACAATCCCACTGCCAGAGAGTCTGGGAAACAGAACCTTCATCCAGCAACTGATGGAAGCAGAGGCAGACACCCACAGCTAAACACTGAACTGAACTCCTGGAATCCAGTCACAGAAAGGGAGAACTGATGAGCAAAGGAGTTAAGACTGGACTGGTTTAACCCACAGAAACAGTTGACCTGAACAAGGGGAGCTCTTGGATCTAAGACTGATGGCTGGGTGGACAGCATGGGACTGATCCAGACCTCCTGAATGTGGGTGTCAGTGAGGAGGCCTAGGTAATCTATGGGACCTTGGGTAGTATTTATCCCTGGTGTACAAATAGACTTTGAGTGTCCATCCCACAGTGAGGAGGCTCTCTCAGCCTGGACTCCTGGGGGAGGGCCTAGGCCCTACCCTGGATGAAATGACACACTCTGGAGATCCTCCATGGAAGGCATCACCTTCCCTGGGGATAGGAGTGGGGATTGGGTGGGGGGCTAGGGAACGTGGTGGGGGGTGGGGGGAAGAAGGGGAGGGAGAGGGAGCTGGGATTGAGATGTAACGCAAGCTCATTTCTAACTTAAATTTAAAAAAGGAAGAAAAAATAGTCCAATAAAAATATAGACCACTGCTTATCTATCTACCTAAAGACACCCAGAGCATTCCTAGATTGTGAAGAATGCTGCAATAAACAAGTAGCATAGGTGATTCCCAAAGGTTTGGGCTTCATCTTTTGTGTACACACACCTCAGGCAGAACCCTGGAGCATGTGGTTTCTTTTGCCAGATAACATGCTTTTATGACTTCTCCACGCTACTTCAGGCCCTGGAAGTTCATTTCTTATTAGTACAAAACAATTTTCTCTTGTTTCAATGCCACAGTTTGCTTAGTCATTAATCAACCAAAGGGAATGTTGGTCAATCCCTGACAATTATAAATAAAATTGTTATAAACATTTATATACAAGTTTTGTGTAGACATAAAAGTCTTTGCGTAATCGCGAAGAGGGCAATCCTGGCAGACCCTATGGTAGTGTATGGTTTTGTAAGAATAAATAACAAGAAAACAAAGGCCTGCCCGACTGCATTCCAGGGTGGCCACGAAGGCCGCTCCTCAGGGTACCATCCTTGCAGCATCTGTAGAGACAAGGCTCTGGATCTGCCACCTAAGTATATTGATGAAGGCATCCCATTGCTGTTTCTCTATCCTTTTCTGTGGTTGTTTCAGCATGAATCCTTTTCGGAACTGTGAACAGTTAACCTAATTAATCTTTACCAACACAAAATCAAAACTGGAGTCAAACACTGGGGTGAGAACCTGAAAGATCCAGACAGGAAGCAGCCACCTCTTGCTTCCTGCACTCCAGCTCCTCAGCTATCCCCGGACAAACTGTATGGTACTGAGACCATAAACGGAAGCTCTGGCTTACTGAGTGACAGGTTTAATCATGCAATGGTCACACAGGAAGAAGCCACGTCTTTCTTGAAAGGTGCCCTCGTTATTGTAGCTGGACGAATTTTATTTCGGGCAGAAGAAATTCTATACCAAGCACTCCTCTAATCCCTGATGAGAGGAGATGCCCATGCCAGCATTCTAGAACAGTTATCAGGTCTCTTCCTCAGCTTGCCTGCCGCTGTTCACTTACATTCTGCCTTCAGGAAGATGACTCAGAGTCAAATGCAGAACCCTCTTTGACTTCCTCTAGAAAATAGGCTTCAAGGTTCGCATGGTGGGAAATGGCAGCAGACTGTGTATGACTTGGGGCTATGAAGTGCAAGGCTGAACTGTCCTGGGTAAATATACACCACCTTTTACTGTCTCACATACGACAAAATCTACCCCATGCAGTTGTTAGAAGGTTACACATGTAAATCTCTTATGACATTGCTGAGCACACAATCACTATAACAAATGCTATTCTTAAAGGGGTTTGAGTTGTCACTGCAGGTAAGAAAGGAAAGGGAGCTGGGCATGGTGGCACACGCCTTTAATACCAACACTAAGGAGGCAGAGGCAGGTGGAACTCTGTCAATTCGAGGTCAGCCAGGGCTACATAGGAAGTTCCAGGCCAGTCTGGATAGATGGTTCTGCACTTAAAAGAACTGGCTACTCTTCCAGAGGTCCTGAGTTTAATTCTCAGCAACTGCATGGCGGCTCACAATCCAATGCCCTCTTCTTGTGTGTAGCCATAGACAACAAAGCACCAATGTACATTAAAGACATTAATAAATACATCTTCAAAAAAAAGATGGTTACAGGCCAGCAAGGCCACTGTGGTGGTTTGACTGAGAATGATGCCCCCACAGACATGTGCATTTGAATGTTTGGTCTCCAGCTGGTGAAAGTGTTTCAGAAGGATTAGGAGGTGTGGCCTTGTTGGAGATGTGTCACAGGGGGTGCCAAAGCCCACCCCACTCCAGGATGCTTTCTCCCTGCCTGCTGCCATGCTTCTCACCATGATGATCTGGGGGTTGAGAGTTGGGGAGCAGCTTAGAAAATAGACATGCAGGATGGGGGCTGGGCAATGAAAGCTACATGAGGCTCCTGAAATAACTGACATAATATCATTAAAGCCATGGCTCTGAAGGCACACACTGGCGATAACGTGGCGTGCAGTGGGGACCAGGAGCCAGAAGCAATACAGTGCTCCAGAACACTCATCCCCTCCTGACGGTGACGTGGACGCTGGGGGAGGGAGGGCAATTGTTCTAATCCCAGAGCAGAAGCCGCACTTTCACAGAATGACCAGCAGACACTGCTTCTGAGATCCCATCATGTGTAAGACGAAGCAGTCCTGTGAGATTCTGTCCCAGTGAGAACTCAGCATCTGTCATGGATTTGACACCTTAGTCATAATTTTGTTTTATTCTAGGAAAAAAAGTGTTGCCAAGACCATTTTATAGTCAACATACTAAGGCTGGGGGTATATGCACCTCAACATGCCTTCTCAGGTCCCAAGAGCTATCCTGACAGATCGTAACCCTGCTTAAAATTTCAAGTAAGAGAGTCTCATGTGAAAAGACCCCTTCCTTTTATAAACAGGAAATTACCACTTCATCTTTTAAGTCTAGACAAAAAAAAAAGAAAGACATTATCTTTTATAAAGACTTAAAACAACTTTTTTTCTGACCAGTGACTCCAGTTTGAACACAGTACCCTTTATGACAGTCAACTAAGAGTGGGGATTAGCCACATGCTCTTCTCCAGTCTCACGGGAACACACTGAGAAGAAGCCTACCTGTCCTGAGAGCTTTAGTGACTGAGGAATCGATCAGCGGAGACAGGGGCAGCATATGAGTGGAGAACCATGAGAGGTTAGTTCACGGACCCAAGCAGGCTACAAAAGGAGAAGAAAGGAGAGGGAAAGAGAAACAGATGTTTTTACTTTAAGTGCCCCAGAGTTAAAGAACAACAGCGTCAGAAATTTAAGGTTAATAGTCCAAAGGACAAAATTAATATTATTTTTAAAATTCCATAATTCAAATAACTGAAGCTGACTGCCACATACAGTTGACTAAGGTCTTCATGTTTCGATAACATTTATCAAAAGAATATATTATAATGCTAGAAGACCTATCCTAATTGCAAAGAAGTGAAATTCTACAATTGATATTCTTGGCAGGACTTACAAATGCTATCTGAAGGTATTATTCCTGAATTCAGAACTCTTATAATAGCTACTACCTTATACTGTTTCTGGCATTTTTATCTAACTGTACATTCACCCAGAGGGCAGATGCATGCATTGGGAAGCCTGATGGTCAAAGCCACCCAACTACTGGTATGAGTTTCAGCTCTGAGCTGTGAATTCCAAGGTGGTTTTGCATAAGAATCACTTAGTTGATTTGTTACAAAATCTGTTCATAAAAAAAAACAACAAAATAGGTATTTCTGATGCATAAACATGGGAAATAAAATAGAATGGTGGTTTTAGAACTCTCTTCTCAAGAGTCTTAAAATTCTCAAAAATTACCTTCAGGGTTCTCATTTGTTTGAGCCTAGAATAATCTCATTTAAAAATCTATTTTGTATATTTATTCTGCTTCTGTAAATCTGAAGCCACAAGACCCGTGAGAGCAAATGGAGCTTGACCATGCAGAGATAAAGCTTGTGTTGGACTTCAACACAGATCTAATCCAAAGATAAGTGACAAAAACACCAGCTTTCATCTTCAGCTCCAGAAAACAAAGCTGACCATACTATTAATGATAAATGCTCATTGGAAATCAGATTCTTGGGTGTGTGTGATGCTGGAGTTCCAGGCTAGGGTCTTGGCTGTGCTTACTAAGTATATAAACTACCACTGAGCTACACCTTCACCCTCAGACTTTAGATCCCAGAAGTTCACTTCTTATGCAAATACAAACTCAAGAGACTGGATCCAGTGAAGGCACGGTAGGTTACTCACCTGTGTGAATGCACATACTAAGCAGGAGATGGACTGAGTAAGAGGCCAGGAAAGCAACCAACAGCAGCAAGAAACTAAAATATAAAAGAATGCATGATTAAGTTTTCCCTGAACTTGCTCTTTGTCATGACATCTCATTACAGATTTCCTCACAGTCAAGATGGTCATAGGGAATATCTTTGAGTAGAACTGCAGACATTAAGGAAAGGACTGCTCTGAATTTACCAAGATTTACTTAAACAAAATACAGAGCTTTGAAAATGAAAAGAGAAATTAAAAGAAATAGACTTTACTTAAAACTCAAATTCCTCCTTTTGCACTGTTCGCTGACGACCAGCTCAGTGATCTACACAGTCCCTTTAATGACTCATTTTTCCTGTTCTAAGTCTCAGTGCATTCTTTTTACTCTATCTCCCCAACTCCCTCCCCTTCCAATGATGTGGACACGTTAACCAGAGCTTTACCTGTAATACCAAGATGGCAGGCAATTCCTAGCCTCTTTCCAGCTCAAACCCAAACAATGCAATGAACACATTTCTAACAACATAGTTTAAAAAGCAGTATAAACAAACAGCACAAATGATTCCCACTTGTTCTCGGGAAGACTCTGGCAGGGTGGGCTTCTAGCTATACTGCTGTCCTCAGTGTATCATACAAGACTTACAGAAATGCTCTTTGTGACTCACGAAATACCTATTAGTAAGTAGCAAGCAGTCATTAAACTGACACTGGAGACCTCACAAAACAACAGTCTCTCTGCAGCAAAAGGGACAGTTGACTTGACGAAGTGAGTCCATGTCAGTGCTGTATACCTGCAGCTAGGAGCATTACATAAAACATGAATTTTCCAAAGAGCTTAAAAATAATGAGGCTCTCTGATTATGAGTTGCTTAACATGTCACATGAAGTTTTTAAAACTGTCAAAGCTTGTGAACACATCCCACAGCAAAAGTGAAGTGGGCTACTTAAAAGCTGTTTTGCCCATCAAGAAACCTGGAAATAAGACTTCCAATTTTCAGTTGGCTTCTACTGACAAACTACCAAAAGTAGCCAGTGCTAGGTGCTCAGTATGAGATCTAGTTCTAAAAGATTTCAGAGCTTAGAGGAGAGAGAACATGCAGATGACAGTAAATATACAATGAATATACAAAGCGCATGTGAACAGCAACAGTCAGAAAACTACAGGGCTAACTGGCTGTGGTGGAACAGCCCCCCATAGGCTCATGGCCCGCACCAAATGCTTGATCTGCAGTTGGTGACCAAATTAGGAAGAATTGGAAGGCGTGTCCTGTCCAGTGCCTCTGGCCTGTGGATCAGGTTGTACGCTCTCAGCTACTGCTCAGCGCCATGTCTGCCTGCCTGCCTGCCACCAGCACACTGCCCAGCATCATGATAACGGACTTCCTCTGACGCTGTAAGCAAAGCCCCAATGAAATGCTTTATTTTATGAGCTGCCTTGATCATGGTGTCTAGTCACAGCCATAGAACAGGATGAAGACAATGGTCTATAACCAGCTCTTGGAAATAGGCACAGAACATATGCCAGGCTCCAGAACATTAAAGATGCCTATTCAGCAGCAGGAGAGATGGAGAATAATATTTTATTTGCCCTTAAAAAACTGACAAGTTTTGATTCACACTGGACAACCTGACATAAATTAACTTGGATATGAGGCTTTTTTAAAAAATTATAAATGAGTGTAAATCAAGTTTTTTTTTAATCTTAGCCACATTTTTAGATTAGTGAAAATCAATGTGAGTCCTGCACTTCACAATGATGTCACAGATAACAATGAGGTCTCAGTGATACCATGGTTGTCGTTATGTCATAGTGCAACATAGTACTCACGCCCATGGCGTAGCTGGGGAAAACACTACTACACTGACAATTACACAAAGTACAGTAGATGTTTTATATCTAGTATAGACTACTCACCAAGAGTAAAGAATCAAATCATTGGCTTATGTATTTATAATACTACTATACTATATCTTAAAAATAAACCATGATTTTAAACCACTTTTATTGTCATTGCCTTTGGTTGGTTTTTTGAGGCAGGATCTCATGGAGCTTAGGTTAGCCCTTGAACTTCTGTGGCTGAGAAAGACCCTGAATTCCTGATCTTGTCTCTACCTCCCAAGTACCGGGATTACAGGTGTATAGCATGTTCCTTCTTGTTACAGGGTGATGCGAACTGTAAAACCATCTTGAACCAGTCCGTCAGGTGCATCAGAAAAGGCTGTTGGGCACTACAGCTTCAGGTGTGCGTTACCCTCAAGACCTCCCAGGGGAACAGCATGGGGACTGATGCTGATGATCCTGGCTCTCAGGTAGAGAGTGTGTTTGTGTCTTAGTTTTAAAGAAAAAAAACCTTTAAAAAGTAAAATATGAAAATAGGAGTATATTTAATTTTCAAAAAGCTTATAGAATAAGAACATAAAGAAAGAAAAGTTTTATATGGTAAATAACGTTTATATTTTAAGCTGCTATCAAAAAGTTAAAACAAGCAGGGCGGTGGTGGCGCACACATTTAATCCCAGCACTCGGGAGGCAAAGGCAGGCGGATCTCTGTTAGTTAGGAGCCAGGCTGGACCAACAGCCTCCAAAACAATACAGAGAAACCCTGTCTCGTAAAACAAATAAACAAACAAACAAACAAAACAAAACCAAAGACCGTGAAAACCAGTCCTCCAATCTAGCAGTAGTGGGGCATTCCTTTAATCCCAGCACTGAGGGGGCAGAGGCAGATGGATCTCTGTGAATTCAAGGCCAGCCAGGTCTACAGAGTGGCTTCCAGGAGAGCCAAAACTACACAGAGAGACCCTGTATCAAAACAAAACAAAACAAAACAAAAAAAACAAAAAAGTTCTCCAACCTTCTCTCACATGTCTCATTCAGGAACATCATTTTTTTTTTCACTAAATCTCTTGTATATTTAGATGCACAAATACAGTTATGTTACAACTGCTTTACCACACTAACATGCAGAATACATTACACTACACGATTTTTAGCCTAGGAGCGACAGGGTGCACCATACAGTGTAGTGTGAGCTGCTTCACCACCTCTATACGGATCGCCCAACCATCAATCAGGCTAGTGCTACACTTCAGACTGTTAGCAATGGCTACTCCATTTGGTAAAGGTCCTTCTCTATTTTGGTTAAACAGTGACAATTCCCATTTAGTTCTGAGAACTAAAGTAACTTGTTTTTCTAGATTCTCACCCTTTGTGCCCTATGGACTCTAGTAATGGGAGACTAGGGAAGATGTTTATCTAGCACACGGCATTCTTACCACTCACCTTACTTCCCTAGCTACCCCCAGCAACCCACCGGTCAAAAAGGGGAAATTTTCAGTGGCCTTCCTCCTTTCCTCTTTGTGCCTATAAGCCAGCAGGCTCTGACTCTTATGCCAGAGCCCCCCTCTGCAGGTCCTTTCCAACTAAAGCCCGTGCTGTCTTAAGAGTCACTGACTCCCTCTTGATGGTCTTACAAGAACACTCATCCCCCAAGCAGTACATGATGGTATGCGGCATTCCTCCAGCTATAGATCAGTTAGGCACAAGGGTAACAAAATAATGCTAAGACCTCAGAAATAAATCCAAAATTCTTAATGAAAAGGAAAAGGTGATGGTGAAATATGAAAACGGGCCTTACCTAAATCCAAGGACACCAGTATTAGCCATCACATAAGCCAAGCCAAGGATGCCACTTCCCATGATGGCATTCATCACATTAAAGACGGATAAACCAAATGAGACACCTGGGGATCCCTGGCTGTGGCGTTCCTGTAAAAGCACAGTTGAACCACGTTAAACGTCTGAACGAGGAAGTTAAAAATCTGTCGAAACATCACCGTCAAATTATGGAGCCAATCTACAGGCCTGAGGATTTGTGTGCAACACTAACTACTTAACCAGGACATGGTTAGTTCTTTTGTCCCTGTAACACAAGCTGGAGTTATCTGAGGACACCTCCGTTGAGAGCATGCCCTCATCAGGCAGCCTCTAAGCAAGCCTGGGGGGGGGGAGGACACCTTCCTGACAGATATGGAACGGTACAGCCCATTTTGGGTGTTGCCCTCCTGGGAAGAAAGAAGGCAAACGGAGCCAGTCAGAAGGGACAAGACAAAAAGCAGCACCCTCCACTGCCTCTGCTTCAGTTTCTGCCTCCAGGTTCCCGGCCTGCCTTCTCTTCCTGAAGGCCCGTAGCTGTAAGATGACATAAACCCTTTCCTCCCCAAGCTGCCCTTTGTCATGGGCTTTAGCACACCAATAGAAAGCAAATTTGGACACAGCACTTGTTCCTTTCCTTTTGACCTACTGGTACAACTCGAGGAACCCAGTCTTCCAGAAAAGTTACCTCCTCCAGTTACAGAGTCCAGGCTGGCTTCACTGGGAGCCATGGCCTTTCTTGTGACTTCAAGAGATCAAGATAAGGTAAGCAAAGGGTGGAGACAGACAGAAGCAAGAGGACTCAGCCCACGTGATTCCTGAAGAATCCCTGTGTCAGCATGGAAATGTTGTGTCCATAACTGTTCTTCCCCAAGTACTCGGGCTGCAAAACTAACCTGTTGTTTATATAAGTCTGCCCAGCAAGGATGATCAGAAATGCCTTACAGGGTCAACAGAAGCAAAGCTATCATTTGTTACAATCCAAGGACTGAAAAGGACTGTAAAGCAGTTCGGGGTCAGGGAGCTTATCTAGCATGCCCAAGGCGCTGGGCTGGACAGTCAACACGGAAGAGGGGGTGGTGGTCCTGGGGCACACAGACCACTACACCGGCTTTAGGTTAAGGACGAGCTATGTGCATATTAACAGATTTCTCTCCTCTTCACTTACAGGGTCTTCTGTACTAAAGTACCCACAGCTCACCTTTCCCTTCGCCCCATGATTAAGTCCAGAAAAGAAATATCTAATGATTCTTGCAAAGACCTCACAAGACTAGAGGAAACTGAAAAGGCGACAAAGATACAAAACAACGGTGAGTCACAAAACCCTAGTTCATCCACCGGTCCCGAGCCCCATTCTGACTGAGCGCCAAGTTGCTGCCACATTCCAAACTCGGCTGGGGTCAGTGGTTCGGGCCCCACCCCGGGGTCTGTCCCCTCCAGTCCAGAACTCTTCTGGCGAGCGCTGGAGGTTGCCACAGCGCATCAGCCCCGCGCTGCTAGCGGAGCCCACTTACGTTGCTTAGCAACGGGCTCCACTCTTCGGCTGCCGCCGCCTCCTCGGGCTGCTGGGCAGAGACGTACCAGCCGGGCTCGGCTTGGAAGCTGTCCTGCGACGCCTGCATGCTGCTCCGCGGCCGACTACCAAGCCCATCTGCAAGCCCCACGCTCCCTGTTGAGTCTCGTCAGGGGCGGAGTTACGGGCCTGGCCCTTCCGGGTTCCCGTACCTAACCGCGGTCGGGAAGAGATTTGACTTCACGTTCCCTCTGCGGCCAACAGTGATGACGTCACCGAGAGCCCGCCCACCCTCAGAAGACCCATTTCCGAGCTGCACCGGAGCATGAGGTGAGGCTTCTCTCTGGTCTTAAGCCGGCTTCGATGACGCTGGACTTGGGAAGATGCGGCGGGTGAGGGACCGGCAATGTCCCGGGTGATGCGAACTGACGGTCCAGCGGCAGAACCCGTGCCCTCCTCTCCCGTCCGAGGAGCGCGGAAAAGCCACCAGGCCATTCATTTCTCTTCATGGCCAACAGGCTGCGAAGCCAAGACCCGAGCCTCGTTAGGGGGCTGGTCAAACGCATGGTGAGGGTTGGTGTGTAGCTCAGAGGTTGAACGATTGCCTAGCATGAATAATGCCCAGGATTAGATTCCCAGTATCACAAAAACCTTTTCATGGTTTTTATCCATATTTTACAAATGCTAAATGGACACCTAAATTACTCAGTGTCAGTGTAGTTCATTAACTACTAGTATAAATCTAAACTTCATTGCTTTATATCATAGGGATCTGTGACAGAACCCGTTACCACTTACTTGGCATTTTAAAAGATGAAATGAATGACTGATACTATGCTTCAAACACACAGTCAAGCCTCGACATCAAAATACCGAAGCCGTTAGTTTTAGGCAGTACAGCGTGAATGGTATCCTAGCCATATATTTAGGCCATGTGTGAGGGGAGAGCATCTCTTTTATCCAGACTGGCCTGGAGGATGACCTTGAATTTCTGACCTTCCTGCTGTCTCTTCTGAGTGGAGTGTTGGGATCAGACACTTGCACCACCATACCCATTGTGCAGTGCAGAAAGCCCCTTCCAGCTGAACTATATTCCTAGCCCTTAAGGTCTTTCTTAACCAAAGTTTTTGTTTTTTTGAGGTTGCTCTGAAATGCATCCCAGGCTGGCTCCTCCCTGTCTCCCTTTTGCTGAGATCACAGACAGACACCACCTGCCTGATATAAGTGATGCTGGTGATAGACCCCAAGGCTTCTTCCTGCATGCTAGGAAAGCCTTGCTGAACTGCTTACCAGCCAAAGAACTTTGGGTGATTGACTTACTCCTTAGCTTACAAAGTTCATACTATAGTTTCTAACACAATAGCCCATAAGACTATCCTAGGAAATATTGCCATTGGTGGCATCATATATCATAACCATTTCATTTAGAGATGCCCCTTATCTCAAATTTCACACTTCCAATTCTATATGTGTTCTGTGGAAATTTTTGAGCAGAGGCCATTGAGTATGGGGAGGCTGCTGGACTACTTCCTTCTGTTACAAGGGCAAGTAGACTGAAGATGCATATTTATTGTTTAACCAGTGACAGTGACTAAAATCATATGGTCCTTGCAGGAGAGACTGTCCTCCCATGCCATTCAAACTTTTTGTCAGCACTTAGCAGGTGATTTGAAAGGGAATTTATATTTTCATTCTCAAACACCATTGTGAATGTGCTCATATGTAGTTTGATGGTGTTTTTGGAATCTTTTCCTAGAATCTTATGGAAGCCATTTGGATTCTCAAGAAGACTTTTGCAAGTAGAATGTTGTCACCCCAATGAATTGATATCTTTGTCTGTACTGACAAGGAGGACATTGGTACCAAGGCTTAAGAAAGCACCTAGTATTTTTTGGTTGGGTCAAAGACAAGGATTCTCAACCATGCCAGAAGAAGAAGCAAGTACGAGAGATACCGAATTGTTTTCACCACCCTCTGATGTTCGAGGAATGACAAAACTTGATAGAGCAGCTTTTAAAAAGACTGTGTCCATCCCAGTGCTTAAAGTGAGGAAAGAAGTGGTCAACAGACTAATGCGAGCCCTCAAGAGGGTGGCCCTGCAGCGCCCAGGCATAAAGCGAGTCTTGGAGGATCCCGAAGATGGAGACAACAGGCTAATTATGTTGGATCCCTACAAAATGCTTACCGTTGATTCCTTTGAGAAAGCAGAATTCGCTGTTCTAGAAGAACTTGATGTCAACCCACAGTTATCCCAATACAATTTGGAACTAACTTACGAAAATTTTAAGTCAGAAGAAGTTTTGAGAGCTGTGCTTCCTGAGGGTCAAGACGTGACCTCAGGGTTCAGCAGGGTTGGACATATTGCACATCTAAATCTCCGAGATCATCAGCTACCATTCAAGCATTTAATTGGTAGGTGTATTATAGTCGGGTTCATGTTCTAGAAAATAAAAAGACTAATTCTAATTTTAGTGCTTCAATTTTTATTTTAAAATGCTAACTTACAGAAGCAGGATAGTTTATTTTTAATTTAAAGCCAAATCGTAAACAACATCCTGCTTTTTGAAGAACATTTTGGATATCTCCTCTCCATAGTCACGGGATTGGCATAGACTTTGGGTCTCATGTCACAAAAAAACTGTTCTATATTGAACATAATTCTTTTGGTCTAAAAAGCTACCAGGCCTTTGGGACAATGTTCAGTACTAGGTTTCGAAAATTTTGGTGTTTTAGAGTCAAATATACAATGCTATTTATTTATTGATTAGTAAATTAAGCCTCTTCTTTATGCTAAGCACTTGAAGACATTTTAAATGTTCCTAGTTGTTTAGAAACTGTAATGTACATCCTACTATTGTAGCTCCATGGAGACCCAAGGTCTTTATTTGGATAGAAGACTAATCAAAATCATATTTTATATAAATACTTGGTATCCATGCATTCTGTAGATTATTACTCTTTTTAGTACAATAATGTTACAAAACTTGTGGGGATTATTCTCACCTTTAAAATGCAGTATCAGGGTTTTGCATAGTTAGGACTTGATAATGGTGTCATTCTGCCTTCTCGGTTTTTATTGACAAGGACACTGATCCCGCACAGTCGTGACCCTTAGAGTGGGGACTAGGTGCAGTGACAGATGTGGGCTTTCATTACTGCCTGCCTACTCTAACTCAAACATTCTTTGGCCATTCTTGTTTCTTAATTTTTCATAAAGTGCTCAGAGATTACAAAACCCACCAACTTTTTGCTATGGAATTTTAGAGTTGCTTTTAATGTTTTAAGAGTTCATTTAAAATGAACTTTTATATCTTAAAAGTTAGTGGAAGGCAATACAGCCATGAAACCATGGGCAGCACAAACTGGACTTGGTGGGTGTGAAAAAGAGAGGACAGAGTGGGTGGGGAGGGGAGGGGGATGTGTGGGTCTAGGAGTTGGGGAAGGGGGCTCATAGCCTTAAAACTCACTGTACAAATTCTCAAAGAATTTTTTTTAATTGAGTTCAGATATTTAAAGCAGAACACGTATTCTGAATTCTGAAATTCTCATTGTATTTCAGGGAATTTATATTCAGTACATTTTACTAACTTACAGATGAAGATCTTTATAGAATTTTGAAATGTTGACAAAAAGATAGTGACTCGATTAAAGGGCAAGAGTAAGTCATTTTGATATATATTATTGTCTTCGTAGCTTTTCCACTGTGATAAATATTCCACTGAAAGAACAATTTAAGTAAAGGACTTTTTAAATTTAGGCCAGACACTGAAGAACCTGTGTCTCCTTGGTTGTAAACATTGCTTGCTGGCACACATTTCCAAACTGGAGACACTTGTTTTAGCCCACAGTGAAAGAAGCCTCTGGTGTGAAGCCAGCAGGGACAGGCATGCCTTTGCTAGCATTTCAGGGACTATCTGTTGTTCAGGGCTTTCACAGCTCATTCCATTCTTTGCCAGTTTCATATTTGCTTTTATTTTAGTATGTTTAACAAAAATGTGGAAAAACAGTAGACTACAAGTCCTCAAAAACTTTTAAAAGTGCCCATAAATTTTCTATATGTACTATAGGCTGTCTGTCATCAACTCATCTCTTTGATTTTCAGAATTATAGACAGAATTACACACACCAAGTACAGTTTTTACTTGTAAACCTAAGGAAAATGTAATTCATTTCTGTTAAGTATTTTAAATTTTACTTTCACAAACAATAAGCAGTATTCAATGAATTTACATCTTCTAGGCCAAGTTATGATTGACAAGAACCCAGGAATCACCTCTGCGGTAAATAAAACCAGCAATATTGACAACACATACCGAAATTTCCAAATGGAGGTGCTGTCTGGAGAGGAGAATATGCTGACCAAGGTACTGTGCTGTTTCAGCAACCCAGAGTGAACAGAACAACTGTGCTTAGAGCCAAGCAGACAGCACGGTGCAGAGTGCCCAGGGTGGACGTGCTGTGTGAGGCTGGAAGAGGCCTTGGTGAGCGCTGCTCTAAGGATAGCGAGCAGTCCATCAGTGGAGAGTCTTCAGCTCTCTCTGTATGGCGGTGAAGTGCACATGGAGAGTTAGGCAACGGAGCAAGCTGTGCAACCCCGTGTGTGCAAAGTCATTCTTGAGACGTCCACCTGCCGGGTTATCCCTGGCCACTCTCGGGGGCGGATACTACCTGTTTCCAGCTCTGGTTGGTTTTAAGGGGAAGGTAATAGACCAATGAAATAAGGCCCCAGGAAACAGAAGAAAGATGTAGCAGCTTTGTCTAAGTTAGGAACTTTCTGGTCTTT